CCCCCCCCCTTTTTTTTTTCTCGGAAAACAAGTAGGAAGCGCTAGTAAAATCTCAAGCAACGCTTCGCGGTGTGTGTTTTCTGTGTTCATGTCTCCTTCTCCTTTGGTTTTTCTTTCAACAGATGGCAAGCGGCGGCCAGAAACGGGTAATCCAGTTAACTGGATTTAAGAAAGAAGAGAAGAAGGCACTGCTCAAATGGCTGTTCAAACTGGACTGTGTTTTTTTAGATAGTAAGGTATTGTTCACCAAAGCACCCGATGGTTAGGGCAGAAAGAAAAAAACGCGAGCCCTAAAGGAACGGTCTGCGCAGTAGTTTACAGTTGTGTATAAATAGCCAAGAAAGTTAAACCGTTTCCGGTGATAAACTGTGTTGTGTTGTCTTGTTTTATTAGAAATACAGAAACTGTACACATCTTATAGCAAAAAAGCTGTGCAGGAGTGAAAAGTTCTCAGCTGCCTGTGCTGCAGGTGAGTAAAAGATTTGCTGTAAAATGTCATAGGACCATAACATAGGACTGGAAAGGACCCTTAAAAGGCTTCTAGTTAGCTGGTTTTATTTCGTGAATGAACTGTCTTATGAACCTTTGTTCTTCTTGTTTCATTAACCTAGATTTTTAACATAGTATTATGTTGAAGTTCTAATTTACTTCTCTTTGGTTTGGATATTTTCCTAAATTATATTCCTGCCATCTTGCTTTATTTTATCTGCATCTGTTCCCACATAGAAAGCTTTGTTATATATTAGGTCACGAAGTCACACCCAAATGATATGGGTGCTTATGGACCCATAAAAAATGGACCACTTGAAAAGGGGGCAGAGAGAGAGTATGGACACCTGCAGTCAGCATGGATATTTGACACAAAATTCACACACAAAATCCACTGGTAAAGGTCACTGCCTGTAAGTTCCTGTTTATGCTGCAAGAGAAAATTCCAGGCTTTTGCCATTCTGAGACAAGCCTCTAGTCTTTCCTCTTGCTTTTCTTTTACCTAAGTGTCCTGGTTTCAGCTGGGATAGAGTTAATTTTCTTCCTAGTAGCTGGCATAGTGCTATGTTCTGGATTTAGGATGAGAATAAAGTTAGTAACACACTGATGTTTTCAGTTGTTGCTAAGTAGTGTTTAGACTAAGTCAAAGATTTTTCAGCTTCTCATGCCCAGCCAGCAAGAAGGCTGGAGGGGCACAAGAAGTTGGGAGGGGACACAGCCAGGGCAGCTGAGCCAAGCTGGCCAAAGGGGTATTCCATACCATGTGACGTTGTGCCCAGTATATAAACTGGGGGGAGTTGGTCTGGGGGGTGCAGATTGCCACTTGGGAACTGACTGGGCATCGGTTGGCGAGTGCATCCCTTGCTTTGTATATTCCAATCCTTTTATTATTATTATTGTAATTTTATTATTGTTATTATTATCATTATTAATTTCTTCCTTTCTGTTCTATTAAACTGCTCTTATCTCAACCCACGAGTTTTACCTTTTTCCTTCCGATTCTCTCCCTCATCCCACTGGGTGGGGGGGAGTGGGCGAGCGGCTGCGTGGTGCTTAGTTGCTGGCTGGGGTTAAACCACAACAGTAAGGCCCAATGCTGAAATCACATACATAAGCAACTAAAATGCTTTTAGAATGAGAATTCTGTATTTTGAGATTTCTTTATAGCAGATTACCTGGAAGGATTTTATGATGAGCTTAGAAAATCTTGTGGAGTTATAAGATTTCACAATGTTGATTTATTAACTGATTAAACGTGATCTTTATTTTCTCTATACCATATTCTACCAAAGTGTTAAAGCTATTTTTAGGATGGATAATCTTAAATCTAAGACATAACAGACAGAAATAACTAAATGTGGATTTGGGTTTAAAGATATATGTGAATGTCTTGATTTCATAGTTGTACTTACATAACATACTACTAGGCATTTTCAGTCATCTGTTGCTGCTAATAATGTAGGGGGGTATGTGTGAGAGTATGTATATATATATATACACAAACGTGTCTCCTTGTACTAATGTAAAGTTCTGATCACACTCTAATCAAAAAGGACATACACCAAACGCTTCCGTGAGTGAAACAATGTCAAAATGCAGATAGATTTGTGGCATAGCACTTCACTTTAACTATGATAAACCTCTGAGTTAACGTTTTCTTATTTTTCGGTGTTTAAATCATCTGGAGAAGTTTTCTTCAACTGTGTGGAAACGGTATATGTAGTGTCCACATGGCAATGCAAAACTCTGTCATGTTTCTATACTTGCAAATCTTCCCCGATGCTATCTGGTACTTTTTATCATGGAAGAGGTGTGTTGTGGTTTTAAGCCCAGCCAGCAGCTAGGCACCACGCAGCCGCTCACTCACTCCCCCCCCATCCAGTGGGATGGGGGAGAAAATCAGGAAAAGAAGTAAAACTCCTGGGTTGAGATAAGAACGGTTTAATAGAACAGAAAAGAAGAAACTAATAATGATAATGATAACACTAATAAAAATATAATAATTGTAATGAATATAATAAAATAACAAAGGGGAAAAAAAAAAAAAACAACCAAAAAAACCAAGAAAAGACAAGTGATGCACAATGCAATTGCTCACCACCCACTGACCGATGCCTGAGCAGTGATCCGCCCCCACCCCAGCCAACCGCCCACAGTTTATATACTGAGCATGCCATTCTATGGTATGGAATATTCCTTTGGCCACTTCGGGTCAGCTGTCCTGGCCATGCTTCTGCCCAGCTTCTCATTTGTGCACCTGCTTGCTGGCAGAGCATGGGAGACTGAGAAATGCTTAACTTAGAATAAGCGCTACTTAGCAATAACTAAAACATCAGTGTGCTATAAACATTCTCATGCTAAATCCAAAACACACTGTACCGGCTACTAAGAAGAAAACTCTACCCCAGCCAAAAGCAGGACAAGGTGCTATTTTTGCATAATCATTGCTGCTGCCCTTGATGGCAGAGAGAGTGTGTTCATTCCTACTGCAGTTTTTCCCAAGTAAGTGTAAAAGATCATGTTTAAACCCATCTAGAACTCCCTAGAGGTGAACAGAAATACTAACAAGGATGCCAACCTTCATGGACTTCTAGCTTACAGAACTTTTGAGTTGGAAACTTCGTATGTTAAAAACACTTTCATTTCAGGTTGTGCACAACATAGCTTTTCCACTCGTAAGTCTACTGGTACCTATGCTAGGTTATGTAGAAGTACCATCTGTGCTCCTGCACTGAGACATTTTGCCAGTCAACCCTGCTGTTCTGTGAAGCCAATTAGGTTCACACAATTCAAGTCAATCTCTCTTACAGTATCTTCTGTAGGTAGTGTTTCAATACAGGAGCAGGGTACTAACCACGGCTCTTGACCTGAACCTGTAAGAAGAGAGAGACAGAGAAAAAGAGGAAGATCATTACATACAGTATCAAAAGCATACATACAGAAGATGAAAGAGGAAAGGTGGAGGAGGTGGAGCCAAGGGATGAGAGAAAAGGATGTGAAAAGAAGAAAGGGGAAAGACAAAAGTCTAAAACCGTATCCCCCTAATATTGGTATTCACTACAGTTGCAGTGCAAGTAATATTAAGAATATATAAAAGAAACAGCTTACATGCTAAGCCCTTCGTTCCTCTTTTTAATCACTGGTGGTAAAATATTTCTTCATTTCACTATGTTTTAGTACATTTGTAAAAGTGTCAAATTATATTAAAAATAAAGGGTTAAGCATGGTTCTGTGGAAGTCATAAGAACAAAATCTGGGAAGCTGAAAAGTTCCATTTGCAGATTTTGAGGACATAGACAAGTATTTTATCTAGGAAGGGTAAAAACGTACTTCATCGTTAAAAGAAAACAAAATGATAATTTTCAGTGGTATTGTGAGATTTCTGATTCTAAAGTGTGAAGAGGAGAACTCTTGTAGTAGGAAGAAGTTTTTAAAATGGTACTTATAATTCCAGCTTTTATTTGCACAAGAAAGGTTGAAGTTAATTTTATATTAGATCTTCAGTTGATTGCCATTTGTCTGCACAAAAAATCTTTTGTGGTTGACAGTTCATTTGCTTTTTAGGAAAGTGGATACTAACTAAGGAGTACATAATTAATAGTGCCGAAAGTGGCAGATGGCTTGATGAAACAACGTACGAATGGGGATATGAAATTGAAAAAGACACCCATTATTCACCTCAAATGCAATCTGCACCTAAAAGATGGCGTGAAGAGCTGACATGCTCTAGTGCTCCAGGGGCCTTCCACAGATGGAAAGTTGTCCTCCCTGTTAAGGAAGGTGATAAAAGAATGGCGTCTATTAGAAGGTAGGAGGATATGTCTTAAAGCTTAAATAATGAACGGTGGAACACTTAATTGTATGGTTGAACACATCTTTGTTCTTCCATCCCAGTTAATTTGGTCCATAACGACCTCCAGCTCTTCAAATTCTGAATGGTTTTCATTAACATACTTCTATACTTTTTATAATGAAATTACTTTAAATCTTTAACATCACTGCTTTTCTTGCTTTCTTTTAGTATAGTGTCAAAAATAACACGCATCCGCATATGCTTGCATCTTCAGTAAACTGCTTACAGGAGCTTAATTTATGAGGCAAGATACATAGGCTTATGTTTTTTATGACTAATCATTTATTTTGTGTGGATGTTAAATGCAAATAGTAGCTGGAACAAGATACATTATTTCACTTGGGTGGTCGACCACGCTGTGACTGACCTGATCGTTTTTTGTGTTGCATCTATGCAACAGCTTCTTGTAGTTCTGAAGACCTAATTTGTACTGGAAGAGATGTTTCTGATATGATGTAAATACAGATAGTTCAGAAGGGAAAGGGCAAAAGTATAAAGGAAAAGCAGAGAAAAGGAAAGCAACTGAAGTGCAAGAATTCTGGGACTACTTTTTTTTTGCCCTCTGTATTCTTCCTACATATTTTGATTCCGTGGTTTAAATACTACAGTGAATCACAAACAGAGCGTGGTAAGTAATTTTTGCTTCTGGTGCAGGAAAAGCGAGCATCCCCTGACACTGTTTTAGAGCTTTACATTCATTGCAGGAGCAGATACTGTCCTACTCTCGTCCTCTGTTGAAATACCAGTTAGTTAAGAGTACTCAGGTCTGGGCATGCCACAGATGCCGGGGCAAGAAGGGAAGTGCGGTTTGTCTGGTTGATGATGGTACAGGGTTGCATGCTGCATTGCAGAATGCCTGTCTGCAGTTCATGAAGTGAGGTGTAGCTGAAGTTACTACCTTCTGATTTTGCCAGCTGAAGGTATTCTAAATATGCTATTTTCTTGGCTGAGTGGAAGAGGTTACTATGTGCTGTCTTGTAGAAAGATGCACTTATCCTGCTATGCTTGTGAAAAATGCTGTTTCTTTTTCTGTAAAAACTGCTTATGCAGATCTTCTTGATAACACTATTGAAATGCTGTCTTGCACAGCTCTCTGTTTGCAATGGAAATAACCTTTAACAGGAGCTACATCAGCAAGACAGGTGAACAGGCAGTTTTGTGGAAGGAATCTCTTTTTCCTGACTGTTTCCCTTACACCAGTATGGGTATCCTTTTACTCAGTCAGAAAACACTGTGAAAGGTAGATATTTTTTTGTCTCCAGCAAGTACTTTTTTCAGTCATCAAGGCCACTATTGCTTTGGGGGAAGATTGATTTTTCTCTAATATTTAAAATGCTGTGCCTTTTTTCCCCCTTCTGTGCTTTTCCTGCCTTTAGTTGGATGGGTAAGTGTATGAGACCAGCACCATTTTCTTTTTACGTAACTGGATTATGAAAAGTAAAACATATATCCAGCATGTCAGGAGACATTATTTCTTCCACCATCTTTTTGTCTGGCATCTTTTCTAAAAGATAAGAATAGTTGCAGCAGTACAATTCTGGAAGTTGCTCCTGGGGAAATTCTTAGTTGTAATGGTGTCCCAAAGAGAAATCTGTTTTCTGTGTATGACATTGGACAGCACCAAATGCTGTAACTAACTCCAAAATGAAGTAAAAAAAGTGTATTTGCATTATGAAAATACCATGTTATAGTTCAGAAAAGCAGTGTTCCATTTTTGGTAAACCACTTAATTTACTGCAAAACTTAATTGAAAGACCATCATCATTGGGGGGGGTATAATGCGATAAATTACAGCTGCTGTCACCAAATTTGATCTTTGAAAAAATGCATGGGTAAAGCTTTCTATCAGATATGTAGGAGGTGTACATTGATTTTAATTAATAGTGTTAAATTGTGAAGAGAAGCATGTTGTGTTAAGTGCGTTCTTTGCTTTTCTGAAGGCTATTAAGAGCCCTTTTATCCTCCTAATGAGGTTCGGCAGTGCCATACATCTAGAACCCTTATTCTCTTGCACTTGCATGCTTGTAGTTTGTGAATTATAATTTAGCTTTAGGCAGTATTAACGTAATGCAGTAAATACATCTTTCCAAATATGTTTATTTAGAGTTCTTCAAGCTGGAAGGGCAACCATATGTTCATCTCAAAACGAAGAGTGCACTATAACTCACATATTCATCAATAATAAAATTTTTCCTATGCAAAACAAAAAATGTCTCTCTGAAGCTCCGTACTACCCTTTGCAATATATAGGAGATTACCTTTTTGAGGTAAGTAAATTAAAAAACATATCTAAAATTAGTTTTTCATTGTCATTGTTAGCTATTTATATCAGGTTTACTTATTACTGTGAATAATGTGACATTAATAATAGAGGGGAATATGATCGGCCTGAATGTTTTGTAATTTGATTAAAGGTAACACAACTTTCTCATTCTAGGACTGTTTATCCAAGAGAAGAGAAGGCTCATGAATGTATATAAATACCTGAAGGGAGGGTGCAAAGAAGACAGAGAGAGGCTTTTGTTAGTGGTGCCCTGTGACAGGACAAGAGGCAGTGGGCACAAACTGAAGCACGGGAGGTTCTGTCTGAAAGTCAGGAAACAGTTGTTTTGGGGGGGGGGGGGGGGGGGGTTTTTTTTTTTTGGGTGGGGGGGGGGGGGGGGG